AAACGGCACGCGCCCACGCAGCGCAGCTACAAACCTGGGCTGCCGGGACACCCACGGCCACACACAGAAGGCCACACACAGGGAAGACAAGCAGCCTGGTCAACGCAGAGGCAGGCAGAGTTTCTGCCTTAGATCCCAAAAACAAGAGAGTTCACACACAGAAAGGACTACAGAGAAGCTGAGTTTAGAAGGGCAGAGATTTTATTTCAGAGACACATAATGAAAACTAGAAAAAGGAGTGCTAAGAGACAAGAAAGGAGAATGTCTGGGCTAGCATTGTGGTGCAGCAGGTGAAGTGGCTATCTGTGATGTTAGCATCACATACGAGCCCTGGTTCATGTCATAGCTGCTCTACTTCCATTCCAGGTTCATGCTTAATGGCCCAGGAGAAGCAGAATATGGCCCAAGTGTCTGGGCCCCTGCCACCCATGTAGGAGACCCTGATGAAGCTCCTGGCCCAGCCCTAGTCTGCAATGCCATCTGAACAAGTGAGTCACAAAGCTAATCAAGACCGCCCCTGGGGTCCTGTGGCATGGCCTACCAGCTAAAGTCCTCGCTTTGAACGCACTGGGATCCCACATGGGCGCCGGTTCTAGTACCAGCAGCTCCACTTCCCATCCAGCTCCCTGCTTGTGGCCTGGGAAGGCAGGCTTTGGGACCCTGCACCCGCATGGGATACCCGGAAGAGGTTCCTGGCTTCTGGCTTCAGATCGGCATAGCATCGGCTGTTGCGTTCACTTGGGGAGTGAATCTTTGGACAGAATATCTTCCTCTCTGTCTCTCCTCCTCTCTGTATATCTGACTTTCCATTAAATAAATAAATCTTAAACAAACAAACAAACAAAAAAGACCACCCCTGGATCAGCTTCTGCAGTCGAGAACACACAAGTGCTTCACCTGTTCCCTCCAACCTGGGCGTGTTTAAAACGTGCGATTCAAAGTGGTAACTCCTCCCGCTTCAGCATGGTGGGGAAGTTCCTGCTAAGATGCTAAAACAGCTATTTCACTCACAGTCACTGCTGCATTATCACTGCAAAAACAATCTGGAACTCACAGATTGATGGACAGCCTGCACAAACTCCCTATGGTTTCTCAGCAAACACTTGGAGATGTGCCACCCAGGCTATATAAACACTATCACTTGCTCCTGGACCTAGGCAAGTGCCCTAACCCAAGATAAAGGCAGAAAAGAAAACACACAAAAGACCTCCCAGGGGCAAACACTGTGACACAGAGTTAGGGACAGGCTCCAGGCAGGCTGCGCTCTGCTAAGGCAGCCGGGGTTACTGCAGCAGCCAGTCCAAGTGCTTGTGCCACCCAGGTGGGAAGCAGGGACAGAGTGCCTGGCTTCTGGCTCTGGCCTGGCCTAGCCCCAGTCCTTGCAGCCAATTGGGATGTCAGTCGGTCACTCTCTCAGTGTCTCTCTCTCTCTCTCCCTCCCTCTCCGTGTGTGTGTGTGTGTAAAACTGCCTTTCGGAAGGAAGAAAGGGAGGGAGGGAGGAACCTAGGACTCTGAAGAACAGCCGAGTGATTTCTGGAAAGCTCCAAAGCTCCAAAGGATGGCAGAGCAGCTCGGGGACTACTCCCTCTGAAACGCAGACTTGTACAGACGGGCTTCTGTTTTTCCCCCTCTTCCTGTATCTACAGTCTGGGAGAACCAGCACCAGACTCTGAATTCGAACACAGAAAGCAAGTAGGACAAAACAATGACACTGACAAGATTTCCACCAGTTCGCGCTGGTTTCTTCAGGCTTTCTTTAATACTTTATTTACATTTGTAGAAGCTGAAATGATCCATTCTTTATACCAACCATCAGATTCTAACCATAATATTGTATACAGTTTTAAGCAATTTTTTTTCCAAAGGCAAAAGTTCAGCAAAGATGAGGAATACCAGCTCTCATACAGAGGGTTCGACTGGACAAGGAAATTAAAATGTCACACTAGAAACAAAGACACATCTATGTTGCTCAGCACCATTTTCCCGGCACCTGGCTTGGCCCTCTTGTAATAAAAGATACCCAATAAACATGTGCTGAGTGGTTGGATGTTTGGAACGAGATCTAAGCCCAGGTTAACTGCTGCTTTTCCTACTGTGTGAAATCCTTTCCTTAGCTCCCTACAACACTGGGGAGAACCCCAACACAGCTCCACGATACACTCAGAGAACAGAACTTCACTTACTAGACTTGAAAGCTTGCTATGGACTGTACACAACTGTACAGAGTCTCGCGGAAACAACAGTTCACAACCAAACTAACAGCGCTATCATTTCTGCTTCTAAACATCTGCCATCTGAAGTCAGCAATGAAGTAATTTTCTATTCCCAGATGAAATGACGGTAAGAGCGAGTGTTAATCATCAGGCACAGTTGCTGCCCTCCCACAGACAGACAGATACTTCAGTTTCCCGGATGACTCCCTGTGGACCTAAATTCCCTAAGGTTTCTTATACTGCAACAATTTCTAAACTGTTAAATTGTAACTTCTTATATTGATTCTTGCTGTAACAAGAACTTGAGATTACAGGTGAAGAGCGCCCCAACACACCGACACACCAACACACCGACACACCGACACACCGACACACCACGACATTCCGAGTGCAGCATTTTATTCTCGGTAACATTTCCCTGCCAGTTTTGACATGTAGCACTGTTCTCACACACAGGGCAGGAATCTCCCGTCCTTGAATCTTCCTGCTGTTTAGATTGGGTGCTTGTGGGGACAACAAGGACTGGGGGTGTTCTGCTCACCAGCTAGTCTTGGGGTTGGAGCAATTACTTCTTTTTTAAAAACTAATCAATCTGGGCCCAGCGCGGTGGCCTAGCGGCTAAAGTCCTCACCTTGAATGTGCCAGGATCCCATATGGGCACCGGTTCTAATCCCAGCAGCCCTGCTTCCCATCCAGTACAAGCCTACTTGTGGCCTGGGAAAGCAGTGGAGATGACCCAAAGCCTTGGGACCCTGCACCTGCATGGGAGACCCGGAAAAGCTCCTGGCTCCTGGCTTCATATAGGCTCAGCACCAGCCGTTGCGGTCATTTGGGAAGTGACTCATCAGATAGAAGATGTTCCTCTCTGTCTCTCCTCCTCTCTCTCTATATATATCTGACTTTGCAATAAAAATAAATAAATCTTCATAAAAAAAGGAATCAATCAAATTGTAACTAACACCAACAAGTATACAGCTAGTATTGAATCACAGATGGCATAAAGAATATAATTAGATCCTCTGGGGACTGAAGCTACCCCATTCCTATCATGTTCCCACACCTGAGCTACTCACACACACACAAAAAAAACAACTCGCTCTACCCGAGGCCATGAGCTACCAAGGATCCTCCAACAGGAACCACCATCAATCATGATTTAAAAAAAAAAAAAATTCAAACCTGACATTCCTTACAAGAAAAAGGAAGCTTGGGCCCTGCGGCATGGCCTAGCAGCTAAAGTCCTTGCATTGAATGCATCGGGATCCCATATGGGTGCTGGTTCTAGTACCAGCAGCTCCACTTCCCTTCCAGCTCCCTGCTTGTGGCCTGGGAAAGCAGTCGAGGATGGCCCAAAGCTTTGGGATCCTGCACCCACGTGGGAGACCTGGAGAAAGTTCCTGGCTCCTGACTCCGGATCAGCATAGCACTGGCCATTGCACTCACTTGGGGAGTGAATCATCAAATGGAAGATCTTCCTCTCTATCTCTCCTCCTCTCTGTATATCTGACTCTGTAATAAAAATAAATAAATCTTAATAAAAAGGAAGCTTGCAGTAAAGACTTCAAGAACATGGGTGCATCCTTCTCCAGAGGCTCCAACAGGAAACATTTCAAATACATTTCAAGTTAAGATGAAGGCCCTGCCCCTCAAACTGATCCTCCAAGTTCTGCTTGTTTGGTATCTTTAAAAGCACAGGGCACTGACAGCAACCTACACGGGCCGAATAGGACCTGCTTTGCAAAATACATCATGGCTTCAAAACAGTCAACCCAATCACTTTAACCAACGCACACTTCTTTCTTACTGGTTTTCTTCTATTTCCTTAAAACCACTGGTTCAAAAGTTGTTTTACAGAATATACAAAACACTACAAATATTTTATCCAACATAAATGAGAATGTACAGAAGGCACATCAGGACTTGCAAACAAACACGTGAACCAGAAGCAGCTAGCTCTGCCCCTCTCAACACGGTGCCCTCGGTCATCAGAGTTTCACCAAATTCTGCAAATGGTGTGCAAGAACCATTCTACTGAACGCTTACTTGCGGTGCCAGCAACACCCAGGCCCTCTTTCTTCAGCAACACTCAGCGTACTGGTCTGCCTGCAGTGAGGGCAGAGCCCTAGCCGCACATCACCCGACTGCTAGGCTGGCAACGAATGAACTCCGGGCGGCCCTGGCGTGAGGGCCACTGGCACAGCGCAGGTGCAGGCAGCCCCGGCCTGCGCTGACGGAATTTCCCGGGCGTGCGAGCTGCAGCCATTTAATTCACCTCAGGCGTTCTTCCCGAAGCAGCAGTCCCCTGAGCTCACGAGAAACTTAGGACTGAAACTGGCCGAGATCACTTTATTTGTCCAGCATACTGCCATTTAATCAGGACGCTCAGACACTTGTGACAAAAGCGTGTCCCCCCGACACTGGGCTCACCTCCAAGTGTGCACGAAGCAGGCAACTGGAATAACCTCACAGAGGGGAACCTGGGCCTGACCCTTCCGGGCGTCCGTATCCAGTAACAAAGAAGTTTACCCTATTGTGTAGCTCGCGATCGGACACTTCTGGGGTTATTATTATTGTCGTTGTTTGTTCCTTAAGCAAAGGAGTGAAACTGCACCCGCTGGTCCCAGGCTCCCGCTGCCCACGCCGCGCTCCACAATGCAGCCGGCCGGTGCGCACCGGGCCCGCCGGCCACGCCGAGCGCCCGGGGGGCGGCGGGCAGCGGGCAGCGGGCGGCGGGCAGCGGGCAGCGGGCAGCGGGCAGCCACCCCGGCCCCGGCCCGCGCGCTCACCGCGTGGAGGTGCCCTTGCGCACGTCGCACATCATGCACTTGAAGGCCTCGGCGCCGTTCCGGAAGGTGCAGACGCTGCAGTCCCAGTAGCCCTCGTCCGAGGACGGCTTCGGCTGCCGCTTCGGCCTGCGGGACACAAGCGGGACACGACACGGCGCGGGTCACCGGCGGGCCGCGCTCGCGCCCCCGCAGCCCGGCCCCGGCCCCGACCCCGGCGAGCTCCGGCCGCCGCCATCGCGGCTCCATTGTGGGGCCGCGCTCGTCCGCGGCGCCGCCCCCGCCCGCCCGCCGCCCGGCCCGGCCGCGCGCCGGTACCTGGTGGGGCTCTTCTTGTCGCCCATGGCTCGGCCGCCGCGCTCGCCGACACGCCGCCGCGCTCGCTCGCTCGCCGGCCGGGGCGCGGGCGGAAGCGGGCGGCGAGGAGGGCGGGGAGGCCGCGCGGCCGGGTCGCGAGCCGCCGCCGCCGCCGGAGCCCACGCAGCCTCCAGCTGTCGGGGAACTCCTCCGGCCACGTGACCCGCGCGCGCCAACCGGCGGCCGCGCCGGGACTTCAAACGCGGCCCGGCTGAGGAGGACGCGGGCCCGGCCTGCGGGGAGCCGCTGCGGGCCGGCTGGGAGCGCGGCCGGGCGGAGGAGGGCGAGGCCGGGCGGAGGAGAGCGCGGGCTGAGGAGGGCGAGGCCGGGCGGAGGAGGGCGAGGCCGGGCTGAGGAGAGCGCGGGCTGAGGAGAGCGCGGGCGGAGGAGGGCGCGGGGCGGAGGAGAGCGAGGCCGGGCTGAGGAGAGCGCGGCCGGGCGGAGGAGGGCGCGGCCGGGCTGCGGGCCGCCCGGGAACCCTGCAGGCCAGCGCGGGAGGCCGGCTGTGCGCGCCCGCAGGCTCGGCCGGGTGACTTCCCCCGGGTTATGTAAGGAGCGGGCAGCGAGGCCGCGGCGCCAGACGCGCCCTGTCTGGAGTAGCCCGGGCTGACTGCAACCCTTACACAGCGTTGTGCTTTGAATGCCTCTGCCGAGGCCGTGCTCTGGATGCAGACGGAGCTGCGAGCGTCTGGCTCCGGGTCCTGGGCCGAGCCGGGCCCGGGAGCACCTCCCCAGTCCCGGTCGGCAGGGACGCCCGGGCTGCTCTCGGGGCCCCGGGGAGGCTGCAGGTGTCGCGCGTGGGCTGCACGGGAAGTCCCAACCCCGATCAGGCCTAGGGCATTCTGAGGAGATTGTGTGATTGGAGCTCTAAGTGCCCGGGGCGATATGCAAATATGCGCCCGTGCTAGCCTAGTCCTTCATTTTAAAGACAAGCGACTTAGGGACCCGATGGCCAGGGCTTGAGGGAGGGCTGGCGCGAGGCTCAGGTAGCCTGTTAGCCTCCCTCCGAGCAGCGATTACCCCTCTCCCGAGTCACCCCGGGGTCACCAGGCGCTTCTTGCACACGTGGAGCACGCCCAGCGGCTGAGGAAAGCTCGAGAAAAGGAGATCCAGTGCCATCGTGGTAAAGCTGAGTCAGTCCATAAGTGTCTTGCAAGCCCTGGATTAGAGTTGAGCTGATGGCCGCCAAGGCCCCTTGCCAGCCTAAGGCACAGGAGGGAGTCCTCCCTGGGACGACCTTGGAGGAGACCGACAGGAAAAGTGGAGCAGAAGGGAGGGCACAGCCTGTGTTTTTAAATCAAAGGCTAAGCATGCTGGAAAGCTCCTTGCCACCTGGTTGTCCCGGGCCCTGAGGTGCAGCCCTGCGGCAGTGTGGCACTCAATGACTGTTCTGAGGTGTGGTTGTTAGTCCCAGTGATGGAGACACCCCGGGACTCCTGCATTCCCCGACCGAGTGTCTAGGCTCCAGTGCCGAGTCGAGTCAGTTTGGGGTACACCCTGGGAAGTGGCAGTAATGGCTCCACCGCTTGGCTCCCTGCCCCCGTGGGTGAGCCTCAGGTGGGCTTCCCAGCTCCCAGCTGTGGCCCGACCCAGTGGCAGCTGTTGCAGGCATGTGAGTTATGAACCAGTGAATGGGAGAACTCTGTCTCTCTTTCACCCTCTCTCCTTCTCCTCTGTCATTGATAAAAATTTAAAGTTGTGAATAAATGCCTTCACTTGGGTCACAAGTCTCGAATGCGGTGTTTTTTTCCCCAGTGGGGTGTCCACCGGTTTAGCATAGTACAGGCAGCAGATGGTTCACAAATGGTGACGTTCGCTACGACCCTTCAGACTGGCACAGTGGTCCATGCCCTTTGCTACCCCCGCGACCTCCTGCTTACTGTCCTTGTGCTGGGCAGGTCTCTGCCTGGCCTAGGTTTATGTGGAGGCACACGTAGCCCATATCCATCGTGCTGTGCAGTAAAGCACCATGCCCTCTCCTTATGGTGTCCCTGCTGTCTGGGAGATGAGAACAGTAAGAAGCTGTGGTCAACAGAGTGGCCCGTGTGCCTACCCATTCGGGCATCTTTCCAACACACGAACCTGTGGTTCTCAGGAGTCATGTTCACTGATGAGAGTACTTCAGCATTTCTAAAGAAAACATTAGTTTATCTTTTAGAAAGGGAGAGACACCCAGGCAAAGAAATCTTCCATCTGCTGGTTCACTCCCCAGATGGCTGCAATGGCCAGACCTGAGCCAATCAGAAGCTGGAAGCCAGCAGTTTCTTTCAGGTCTCCCACAAGGATGAGGGGGTCCAAGGACTTGGGCCATCCTCTGCTGTTTTCCCAGGCTCCTAGCAAGGAGCTGGATGGAGAGTGGAGCAGCTGGAACTCCAGTCGGTGCCCATATGGAATGCCAGCATCACAGGCGAGGCGTTATGTTGTTATGCCATGGCTCTGGACCCTCCGTGATAGTTTTAACAACTTGACATTGAAGAGTTGAAGCATTCTGGGGTGTTGATGTAATCATACCCATTTCCATTCCCATACACTTCCCAAGGTAGGAGACTGGAGAAGTCAGTGTTGCTGTGCCTGCGATTACAAGTCCAGGCGGCCAGGAACCGGTCTTGGTCTGGAGGCTGACCACAAGGTCCCAGTGACGCTGTCAGGATGAGTACTGAAGTGATTGGGCAAACATAACAACAACTGTGCATTCATCTGTAGTTATCTGGCAGGGGCAGCTAACACCTGGAGTGTGAGAGAAATGGAATGACTAAAGGAGAAAAATTAGTCGAAAACCTTTCCCAAGAGACAGAACTAAAATTCAAGTACAAAGTACAAAGCCCTAACCCAAATATCCAAAACCAATCTCTGAAATGTTGCCCAAATCACAAACTTCTTGAATGTGGACTTGATACCACAAGTGAAAACTCTACCATAAAAATGTCATTTACTGCACAGAATGAAGATATGCTGTGTAAAATTGCCTTCACGCTCCAGAATAAAAATACATGGAACATAGACTCGTTTACATGTTTAGACCTAGGCTTTGTTGCAGAAACACCTTCTTGTGTATCTGCACACATCCCCGGTCTGAGAAGCTCTGAAACCTCTGGTCCCAGACTTTTTTTTTTTTAAGATTTATTTGATTTTTATTGAAAAGTCAGATATACAGAGAAGAGGAGACACAGAGAGAAAGATCTTCTGTCTGATGATTCACTCCCCAAGTGAGCGCAATGGCCAGTGCTAAGTCAATCCAAAGCCAGAATCCAGGAACTTCTCCAGGTCTCCCTTGTGGGTGCAGGGTCTCAAGGCTTTGGGCCGTCCTCGACAGCTTTCCCAGGCCACAAGCAGGGAGCTGAATGGGAAGTGGAGCTGCCAGGATTAGAACCAGCACCAATATGTGATCTCAGCATGTTCAAGGCGAGGACATTAGCCACTAGGCCATGTCGCCGGGCTCTGGTCCCAGGCTCTTTTGGGGTAAGGAATGCTCACTCAGCCTGTGTAATGACAAGCTGCTTATGAAACTAGACTTTTAAAGATTAGTTTGTTTTGTTTTAGTCGGTTGGTGTCTTGTATTTGCAAAGTAGGCATACCTTTACTGATTGTGTCAGTTATACAAGGTGCATATTGCCAGTTACATTACTCCTCTGAGGTTTTGTATCATAGTGCTGCGTATTGAATAGCTGAGATGGATGTATTCTGGCACAGTTCTGGAAGCTGGGAGCCTAAGATCGAGGTGGTGGCAGAGTCAGTTACTTCAGCAACCTCCTCCTGGGCGTGTCCTGATCCTAGATGGCCTCTTATCAGAATGCCAGTTCTAGGCCAAGGGTTATTATCTTAATGACCTAGTTGTAATTTAATTTATCTCTTTGAAGATACTACCTCTCAATGCAATTACCTTCTGTGGTATTACAAGTGAGTAATACCAACCTGTGAATTGGGGTCACAATTCAACCCATATCAGTAAAACAAAACAAAACAAAAGGTTGAATAAATGTTTTGTAAGCAACTGACAAGTTCTTGTAACACTGTTGCTACAGGTTTAGTCTGCATGTGAAATGCTTAAGTTTATGTCAGATAAAAAGACATTAAGACAGTCCAGTCTACAACACCCATTGACTCATGAGGAAGACAGGGCTGGAAACAGAACGGACCCAGCAATCACAACGACCAGCATGTGCATAAGCTGATTGGTGTGACGAACGGTGTTGGAGTCTGTACTAGCACACTCACTCAAGAATCAGATCTGGGATCAACTCAGATGAAGTTTCTTTGGATATCCCTCCAACTGAACTGCTGATCTTGCAACCCCATCAAGAGACTGTCAGCCAGTGGACTCTGAATAGGTCTCATTGTGATTGGAACTGTGAGACTGGCAGCAATCAAGAACTAATGAACTATCAAAACTGTTTGAATAGGACCCTTGGAGCGCACCTCCTGTTGGGGATCGGGGATGGGTGGGAGGTTGGGTGGGGCTTTTCCCTTTGTTACTCCCCTAACCCCAGATACAGGGAAAAATGATAATATTAGTGTGGAAACAATGGTATTACCCACTTTCACCCGGTAGCCCTTGACCCTTTGTACCCTAATCAACTAAGATTATTACAATAAATAAATAAATAAAAGACAGCCCAGTACAAACACCACATGATTAGCCAGGACTCAAGTGGGTTCTGGGGTAAATGAGTATTTCTAAAAAAACAAACGCTCAAATTAAGTGAGCAAACCCCGGTGCGTAAATCATCCTACATCAGTTCTACCCATATTCCCCTGCTAAACGGTTACAGGTCAGGCAAAGCAGGAAAGTCTTTGCATTCTGTGTTTTTCAGATTGAAGGCGTGTCTTTGTTCGGCCCCAGCTTACACGAGGCAGGCTTGGTTACTGTGATGTCTGGATAGCCCAGAAGGCGTCCAGTCACAGCCCAGGCTGACCAGCAAAACAAGGACCTGTTTCCCAGGTGGGCGATATGGGAGTGTGGCCTGCAACAGATGGCATGGCTTCACTCCACAACCTTGACCATCCACCACGGGCTCCTTCATCACACAGGATGTCTGCTTTATGTGTGCTCAAATTGATATTTATCTATTTTTAATCATATAGTACTTTACATATCAGTGCAATATTAATACAAAAATAGTTGCAATGTAATATATAGCCACATTTAAAAAAATATTTTAATTTTAATTGGAAAGGCAGATTTGCAGAGAGAAGCAGTCACAGAAACGTCTTCCATCTGCTGGTTCACTCCCAAATGGCCACAATGGTCAGAGCTGAGCCTATGTGAAGCCAGAAGCCAAAAGCTTCTTCCAGGTCTCCCACACGGGTGCAGAGTCCCAAGGACTTGGGCCATCCTCTGCTGCCTTCCAGGCAACAAGCAGGGAGCTGGATAGGAAGTAGAGCAGCCAGGATACAAATTGGCTCCCATACAGGATGCTGGTGTACAGAGGTGGAGGATTAGCCAACTAAATCATTGTGCTGACACCCATAATGCTAAGAATACGATATTCCCTCCCTCCCTCCTTCCCTCACTCTTCCTTTCTTTTGTTTATGTAAGTAGCTAGAGATTTTATAGGGAGAACTTGTTGGATAGCGAATATCACCAGCCTCTTTGGCAATTTATTTTCTTTTTAAAATGCTTTAAGATTTTATTATTTACTTCAAAAGCAGAGATAAAGAGTGCTTCCATTCACTGGTTCATTCTCCAAATGGCGGTAACTGCTAGAGCTGGGCTGATTTGAAGCCTATTTTTTCCGGGTCTCCCGCATGGGTGCAGAGTCCCCAAACTTTGGCCCATCCTTTATGCTTCTCCAGGCCACAAGCAGGAAGCAGGATGGGAAGCGGGGCTACCGGGATACAAACTGGTGCCGATATGGGATGAGATGCAGGCATACTCGAGGCAAGGATTTAGCCACTAAATCCTTTAGCCAGGCATTAAAACAGTATTTTAAACAAAAAGCATTCTAGCAAGGGGCCGGTGCTGTGTTGCATCACATTAAGTCAAGCCTGTACAGATCCCATAGCAGAGGCAGTTTGTGTGCTGGCTGCTCCCCTTCTCATCTAGCTCTGCACTAATACTTCTGGGAGACCAGCAGAAGATGACCTGAGTGCTGGGCTCCCTGCACCCATGTGGAGACCCAGAAGCTCCTGGCTGCTGGCTTCAGATCAACTCAGCTCTGGCTGTTGCGGCCACTTGTGCAATAAACCAGCAGGTGGAAGATCTTTCCCTCTGTCTTTTTCTCTATATATCTGCCATTCAAACAAACAAATAAATAATTTTTTTAAAATTACAAAGCCCAGATATACAGAGGGGAAGAGAGAGAGGAAATAAATAATTTTTAAATGTTATTTTATCATCTGGGCTTCCGAATTCTATCTCCACTTCTGGAGGCCTTGTTTGTTTGTTTAAGATTTATTTTATTTTTATTACAAAGTCGGATATACAGAGAGGAGGAGAGACAGAGAGGAAGATATTCTGTCCAAAGATTCACTCCCCAAGTGAGCGCAACGGCCGGTACTGTGGTCTCTAACATGCTGGTGCAGGGTCCCAAGGCTATTGGAAAGGTACAATGAAAGAAAGTTTCAACTGCTGCTTTGCTCCACAGATGTCTCAACCAGGGCTAAGCCAAAGCGAAGCCGGGAATCGGCAACACCAAACCTCTCCCTGGATGGCAGGAAGCCAGGCGCTCGAGCCGTCTACCACCTTCTCAGGCCGTCTGCAGGAAGCTGGGTCAGAGTGGAGGAGCCAAAAGCCCAAGCAGTACTCCACTCCAGCATGCCAGCCTGCAAATGGGGGCTTCACCCATGGTGCAATGTTGTCCCACTTTACTTTGTGGGATGTATTTGACCTATCTGCTTCAAGAACTTCTTCAGAGGGGCCAGCAGGGCGGCAGAGTCGTGTTAAGATGCCACCCTCAGTGCCAGTATCCCATCTGAATTAGCTCTGCACTTCCAACCCAGCTCCTGCTAATCTGGGAAAAGCAGTGGGAGGTGGCCCAAGTCCTTGGAGCCCTGCCACCCATGTTGGAGATCTGGAAGCAGCTGGCTCCTAGACAGTAACTGCTTTGTCTCGTCACAAGCCTTTTACTAATTTCTAAGACCCGCTTCCTGCAGGCCTCTCCCACGGTCACAGAGGCCCAAGGCCCTGTGCCATCCTCTGTTGCCTTCTCAGGCCACCAGCAGGCAGCTGAATTGGATGTGAGCATCCAGGACTTCAAATGGGATGCCAGTGCCACAAATAGAGACTGTATCACATCTCTCCAAGCTTCTTACTAATTTACAGTATCCACAACCTATCCGATTGGGGATAAAGCTGAAAGAAACAAGATGACAAAACACCAGTATTTACACATAAAGTTCTTTTTAAAAAGTTTATTAGCATTTTATCAAGTTTTTGAAGATTAAATTTCAAAAGCCATGTAAAATAATCAGACATGAACGAAATTTTATTTTTTTAAAATTTTTTTAAAAAGATTTATTTTTATTATTTTTTTTATTGGAAAGGCGGACAGACAGAGAGGAGAGACAGAGAGGAAGATCTTCCGTCCAATGATTCACTCCCCAAGTGAGCGCAACGGCCGATGCTATGCCGATCCGAAGCCAGGAGCCTTTTCCGGGTCTCCCACGCAGGTGCAGGGTCCCAAAGCTTTGGGCTGTCCTCAACTGTTCTCCTGGGCCACAGACGGGGAGCTGGAAGGGAAGTGGAGCTGCCGGGATTAGAACCAGCGCCCATATGGGATCCCGGGTGTGCAAGGCGAGGACCTTTAACCACTTGCGCCACCACGCCGAGTCCATGAACGAAATTTTATAATGAGCATCTCAGATGATCAAGAGCTTTTTCTTGTGGGTCAATGACATTAATAGTATTGCTTACTGTGAGTATTCTCACTGGTGGATTCTGAGGGGCAGCACACGCTGCCCATCTCCTGTCTGAGACACTGGGGCCTGGAGTTCTCGTAGGGTGGGAGCCGGGCTAAGCATGCACTGTTGGTGCTTTATGTAACCCTGATCTCGGCACGCACAAGGCAAACACTAGCCACCAGGCTACTGTGTCAGGCCCTTGTTGACCTTTTCAAAAAATTGAGTGTGACTTTTTTTTTTCCATTTCCTAAAGGAAACGTCACAGCCATCTGAGAGCTCCACATGTGTGTGGTGTCCTAGTTGAGATGCTGTATCGGCATTGAACATCTGCCAGGTTTTGTAGCATTTAGGATTTCAGATTAGGGATGCCCAAACCGTACTGTGCTAAGGCAAGATAGAAACATGACACTTTACATGTTATTTTAAGATTTGCAATGAACTGTCTGCTAGTAAAATATCATTTGGTGTTAGGCATCCTATGTCAGACGCTAGCAGTAACCTCAGTCCGCTGAAGGCTGTGCTCCCAGACTCTGTTTATTCTAGGGTGTTTACACAAGCGTCTTGTCAGTCACTCAGCTCTTCTTCGTCACTGAAGTATGTGCTCTTCTTTATCCGAGGGCGCCTCGGGTCGTCCGCCGTCGAGGGGCCTCCTGAACCGGGCTTCCACCTTTTCTGTTCTTCTTCGATTTTGGCTTGCTGGAATGCAGTTCAGCAAACAAAACAAAACCAGTAGAGCGTTAAAAGTCTCTTAATGTGCATTAATTCAAAACACAGCAGCACTGTGTGACAGATACTGCCACTTCTGCTCCCCCAAATCCTACAGGTAAGATACCCCTCCTGCCAGGTTCTGGCCCGGTCAGAACAGCCACTCAACATTATTCTAGGCTTCCTGAAACGTCTCTTTGGTGAACCTGAGCTCGCTTTACTCAAATAGTTCTGCTCATGTGCATACTGAAAGCAGAATGAGATCCTCAACGTGCTGGGGCCCTGACACCTGCAGGAACCAGTGCAAGTGTCCACTGACAATGCTCTAGGCTGCAGTGCCGGGGCCCCAACACCCGCAGAACTTGTGGAAGCTTCTAGGCTTCAGACAGTCCCTACTGCCTGAGAGGCTGCAGGGGAAGTTGAGACGCAGCAAGGGAAATGGAAGCGTGGGCCGGCTTGGAAGCATGTGGCACAGTACCTGGAAGGCAATCGCCTGGCTGAGGCTGTCCAGGGCAGGGTCCTCCCCTTCGTCTTCACTGTCTTCCACTTCCTCGCTAAACAACAGAATTGTCAGAACGCAATCAAGCCACTGTGACAGGCAAAAGCGACACATATGTATTCACTAAGGAGATGCACCTACATTTCTTGTTCTGGTTCAGGAACTTTCTTCTTTTTCTTTTTTTCTTTCTTCTTTGGAGGTTCCCGTTCTCCAAGCATATTTTTTGGACATGCATAACTTAAGTGTCCACTTTCCTTTTGCATCAAATTTAAAAGGGGAAAAAAAATTACATGTATTGCTGTTAGAATAAACCAGCCAGTTACCTTGCTTTTACTAGTAACTTGCAGTTACTAGGTTTTAAAAATAAGGTTTACTTCCACATGGAGAATCTACAGAAGAAACTAATGATTGACAAGCCACTGCTTTGATAGAAGCACGTTCTGTGTTGCTCTTCCTCTCAGTCTGCTTCTTTAACCGCAGGGAGTAGCTTAGCCGTCTCACCACAAGTGCTCTCTCTGCAAACATTTACAGCCGGACTCAAGATAGAACAAAATGCACAATTTACATGGGCCATCTGTTCTAACTGTACAAACTTTTAGTTACTTTGGGAAAAGTACTCCTGTCACTCTTCAGGATCCATTCTTTTGTTTACATAGCAAACAGAGGGACAGCATCCTGCAGGACAGCAGGTACTGTGCCCGCCCGACTCAGCAACCTGCCAACGGCCGGGGAAGGTGGCAGAGTGTCTGGCCCCTGGCAGCGTGTGGGACATCCAGGAGACCCCTTGGCTTCAGCCTGGCCCGGCTGTGGCCGTCACGGTGATCCGGGACGTGAGCCAGACGATGGAAGATGCTCTCTGTGACTCTCCCTTGCTTATTAACTGACTTTCAAACAAAATGAAGTTGAGGCACATGAACGTGAACTATACATTGGAGTTCTGAAGATTTAATTGATCAAGAAGGTAAAAGACCTTAATAACTGAAACATATTAATCATATTTCAATGATTTGGATAAATGTTGGGTTCAATAAAAAAGCTATTCTTAATTTTCCCTGTTTAATTCTTTCAGTTAATACTAGAAAATTAAAAACCATATCCATGCATGGTCTTCAAAGAGTTCATGGAGTTTGTATTATGAAAAAAAAATGCATGAAATTCAAAATGTTTCGCACCAAAATACAGATCTCTCTTAACTCCATTTGGCTTGCACTGTGCGTTAGGACGGCTGTGCGTAACGAGCCACAGAACGGGAGCACTCGGAATTACACCTGCACATTGCCAGCTCACTACACGTGGAGAAGAGGTAGGATGGGCTGTGCAGGACACTGGGCAAAGAGGATATCCCAAGTGTACGAGACAAAGCCTCAAACACACCACGCGCCTGCGTCCCCGGGGCAGGGCTGAAGACAGGTGGTGGTCAGTGTCAACACAGAGCACCCACGCCACGTTCCGGAACCACGAGCACCAAAAACATTACCACCTGAGCATAGGGTGACAGTGAGGGGAAGGATCTAGCAACAGGAACAGCAAGGCTGGCAGAGTGTGAGAAACCTCAGGGAAAGGGAGGGGAGGAGCAGGAGCCAGGATTCCCCCACTCTGAGCTTCCTGTGGACACGATCACACACTCACCTACGCGGGCTCATAGTCGGGCAGTGACAAAGTGTACAGTCAGGTGGCTACTGGCCTTTCTGCCCACCTATGCATTCGTCTTCTTTAAGAGATGTATGTATTCTTATTGGAAAAGCAGATATACAGAAAGGAGAGACAGAGAGATCCTCTCATGATTCACTCCCCAAGTGACCACAACGGCAGAAGCTGAGCTGATCTGAAGCCAGGAGCCCAGAGCCTCTTCCAGGTCTCCCATGTGGGTGCAGGTTCCCCAGACTTTGGGCTGTCCTGAACTGCTTTCCGGGGTCACAAGCAGGGAGCTGGATGGGAAGTGGAGCTGCTGGGATTAGAACAGATGCCCATATGGGATCCTGGTGCGTGCAAAGTGAGGACTTTAGCCGCTAGGCACCACACTGCACCCTCTAGTTGTCTTTGTATCTTTTTTTTTCCTGGCAGGGAGCTTAAGAGGGAAAGCACAGAGAGTGGAGCAGGAAAGGTCTTACAACCTTGACACCATAAGCAGCGTCTCTCAGAAAGTCTGTTTCCTGTTCCCCAACACCCTCCAGGCTCTGGTATGATTTACGGGGACACTCTGGAAACCAGCCGCTACAAGTATTCTTTCGCAAACATTTAAGTCCTGATTCAAGACATAAAAGTTCACCGTTTAAATGGGCCATTTATTCTAACTGTACAATTTATTCAGGTGTCCTGAAGCTCTGGTCCCCCCACCATACAGCGATCATGAGGAGAAGCAGGAAGACAACATAGGCGATGGCTTGGTGCCAGACCTCCAGCAAAACTAACAGGAAATTAAACATCTCAGAAGACAACTTCCTACAGAAGGTGGGGCAAACATCAACAACAGAAAGGCCGGGTACAGAATTGGGATGCAAGACTACCATGTGAACAAAATTTTTTTGATTTATTATTTTTCTCTAATAGTTATTTGAGAAGTAGAATTAGAGTGTCAGACAGAAGAGAGGTGCCTTCCATCTGCTGATTCTCTCCCATGGCTACAACTGCCAGGGCCAGACAAAGCATGCTGAAGCCAGGAACTGGCAGTGTCTTCCCCAGTTCTTGCGTGGCTGCAGGGGTCCAAGCACTTGTTCTATCTCGGGCTGTTTTTCCAGACACATTAGCGAGGAGCTGGACCAGAAAGGGATCAGCTGGGACTCAAATCAGTGCCCATATGGGATGCAGGTATAACAAGTAGTAGCTCAACCCACTATACCACAACATCAGTCACCTACGATCTTTCGGCAATGAGGCAGACTTAGCAATGGAAGAGAAAACCATCGTACGTGGCCCTACTCAGCTAAACTTGTGAAGAGTCTGCAGTTTCTAAGCCAACTTTTATTACCTAGCTTTATTTGGCCAGTAAGAAGTTTTGAAAAGTAGAAGATAACATCAAAATGCCTTAGTGTATGTTCTGGAAAACTCCACCAGGTCTTCTCCCCACTCACCCCACATTCGTAGCACTTGGACTTATCAAAGTAGTTCCGCCTTCGGATGAACTCAGCTGCCCTTCCGTTGTCGATGGCGATGCTTGCTTTAATCACTCTACCAAATAACTGCACAGAGAAGGAGGTCAGTGCCCTCGATGCCCCACGGGCAGCGCCTGCCCGGCTCCTTCGGGCGGCAGCTCCACTTCATCCTTTGCTGGTTGAGACACATTCTACCCTTCACCAAAGCCTTGGGACACCAACACAGCTCTGGTTGCTTCTGCTTTCCCTAAGTCAGTCACCCGAGTTGCCGCCGGAGTGGGCAGAGGCTTCCGGGTCCCACCCCGACAGAATGCGCACTCACCTGCTTGTTGTTTATCACCCTCGTGCAGTTCTGTGCAGAGTCTTTATCCAAAAACAAAATGAAGGCAACCCCTTTACTCTTCCTTGTATCTTTATCTTTCATTATAGTGACCCTTAAGGCACAAATAAGCAGTTAGAGAAAGCAATAAAAGAAACACAGTAATGCTTTGCAAATGCTTTAAAAGGTGCCCCTGCAGCTCTAACGAGGAGTCAGCCCACGGAGCAGGCCAAGTGAACAGGAGACACGGCCTCGCTGGGTCAGCTGCACTCCTTCGCAGCTCACACTCTCCCTGCCAGCCAGCAATACAGCCTCGGCTGTTTTCTCCAGTTTGCCTATTCCTTTAGGCTCTACAACCTAATCCTTTCTTAATATTGTTTCCTTGGATTTTAGCCGCACCCACAGGGTAACAGGTGTGAGTAGGCCCTGCTTTTGTCTGCCACCAGCCCCACCTGAGCCTGTCCTGAGGACACTGGCTCACTGGGTGCCATTCAGTGGAGCCCTACATCGAGGCCCAGTGGGTCAGCCACATGGTGGGGGAGAGCCCACGACCAGGGCTGTCTGAGCACACCAACCATCATGTACGCTAGTCTATATTCTTCTAAGTGTAGGAAAGCAGGGAGTGCTAAGTCTACACCATTCATCAATTAAGGGCATGGGTGAGAGGTATGGGGAGTTCTTTCTCATAGTGACTGCAAAGAAATGACTGTAAATGGGGTGGGGGTGGATATGGAAAAAAAAATCACCCTTGCAAAAGCATGGTCAGGTAAGAATCTTCAGATAAGGCCCAGTGTGGTAGCCTAGTGGCTGAATTCTTGCCTGGCATGTGCTGGGTATGGGTGCTGGTTCATGTCCTGGCTGCTTCACGTTCCATCCAGCTCCCCGCTTGTGGCCTGGGAAAGCAGTAGAGGACGGCCCAAAGCCTTGGGACCCTGCACCTACTCAGGAGACATGGGAGAAGCTCCTGGCTCGGGAATGGCTCAGCTCTGGCCGTTGCAGCCACTTGGGGAGTGACCTAGCACACAGATCATTTTGTCTCTCTTCTCTATTAATCTGCCTTTCCTTTAAGAATAAATCTTACAAAAGCCACCAATATATGCCGAATCCAAATTAAAATTTTTATGTGAACCAGGCAGATGGCTAATACATCACAGTGGGGCCTGAGATAGCATTCTGATGACCAACCCAATCCCAGTCCTGGGGACAGTGCGCCTCCACGCGGGCTGCGGGGGAACTCTGTCCTCCATGCAGTAACACGTCATCTGAATTTCACTGTGAGGATGCACTAGCAGAAACAAAAATGAAGGAAAACAAACAGGGGCGGTGGCTTTATTCCTTGTGACTATCTGGTTCCAGATCCAAAGGATGTTAAAAAAGAAAGGACAGCTACAAGTAATGCTTCAAAATGTGGACTGACACTAGAGGAGAAAAATGCTATGTTGGATATTTGAAACCTTTTTTTAAAGTTTGAAGTTATCTAGAAATAGTTGAAAAGGGCAAAGTTGAACAATTTCATAAAACCCAAATTACAGGACACTGGACAGAGAATGCAGCAAGGTTGTATTCAATTTTAGTTTTGGGTCTGTTAGGCAATGGAATTAAAACCGATAGAACACAGACCACACTAAGAAAAGCACTGTTGAGTTTCATTTAGAGAAGAAACCTGCTGAAACAGCGCAGGGCGGCTGGGCACGGAGCAGGGCGGCACTTCCCAGTGCCCGGAGGAGAAGCAAGCCCTCCAGCGGCACAGGCGGTTGGCAAAGCCAGAGCTAGCCAGGCTTGCCGCAGCGCCCAACCAGCTCTGAAACAGGTTCCAACAGACTTGCTTTTACTCTATGGAAGTTTTCACATTTGCAAAGGTGAGTTAAAGCCACAAACCATCTTGCTGAGCCTTCCCCACCAGGCGTGGGGAGCAATCCCGTGCCTCCGTTCCCCAGCCCAGCCTGGCTGCTCCGGTCCTGCCCAAAATGCTGTTCAACGGTTCACCGACCTAGGCTCACTGGTTTCTTGGTGACAAATCTCTCATCTACTGGCGGAAGTACTAAGGAATAAATAAACCCAGCATCCTTTGTGCGACAGCGTCCACCTTGGCTCCAATCTCCCTCACTTCTCACCACTTTCACTTGCCACTTGACTTTCTCTGCCTCATAACAGAGCTAGGTGTTTGACAAAAGAGTGAAATAAACACAGCACCATGGAGCGTTTCTACTGCATGTCTCCTATCTCCAATTGCAATTATGATCTGCTCTAATTTTTGGTTCCTGTCCTATTTTTTATAAAGAATCTGTATTTTGTTAATCAGAGTCACAAACTTGACGTCACATCCTTCAACATACTCATCTTCCTACCCTTTCTGTGGTGACATGTGACCCATTTACAGTGTACCTGGTAGCACAAGTTCTAAAAGCAACATCTGTTTAGTCAGACTTTAGGCAGAATTAGTCTTAGATTTCAGATATAATAGGAAATTACACAGACCATATATATATATATAATATCAAGATATCTAAATGAATTTAAAAAAATAGGGTTTCTCTATACAGGTTTATAATACACTGTTAAGCCTCAAAAAGCAAACAAAATCATCTGTATGTTAACAATGTCTTAAAATGTCCACATGTTTATGTAAATAAAAACCCAAATATTTATAAAAAGGTTCACAGTATTTTTTATACCAAATATGTATTTCATGAAAAATTCCATCTACTGTCATAAAGAATTATGAAAAAGCAAATTCAGATAAGCTTTTACAACAATCAAAAGATATCAATGAATACTTACTTCACAACTTTTCCATACTTGGAAAATATCTGAAACAAAAGACCACATAATTTATTTTAGAATAATACATTTTCAGGTTGTATAATTATTTTACAGTTGATGAAACAAGTTAGCCCACTCCACATAGCAGGCTGTGGAAGAAATTGATTTGATAATTAGCATTAACACCCTTATTGCTAATGGGATTGTACATATTGTCTAAGTTTCTTAATTTTTCACAATGCAAGGTGTGCAGAGAATACACAAGCCTGCACGAGCCAGCTGAGCTGGACCTATGGACGACACTACGCAGCTGAGGTTCAGCTCTAGAACTCTGCGCATCACAGCTCCAGCACCGTGAGGAACCACCAGCCCTAGCCCTCCCACCATCCACACAGTGTGAGAACCTCAGACTGCTTCTAGAGGAAGGAAACAAACTACAGAAGCGTCTATAATGAAAATGCACGTCCCTCATGTCCTCCTCCTGGTGGCTTGCCTAAGCTGGTGATGCTGGCCCAGCTGTGCCTGCACCTCTGCATTTTCCTGCTAAGCAATCCCAACTATTCCTACAGTTTCAGCCAGTGTCCATGCCAACAGTCCCTTTATTGCTTAGAAAAAGATGTTTAGAATGCATGCAATGAAGGGTAAGCTTTGAGTTCTGTGATTAGGTGAGGGTTCCTATTGCCTCTGCCGAGCCCGGGTCTCCTCCAGTGTCTGCACACTGAGTCTGCACAGCTCTCGGGCTGGCTGCGGCTCTCCCCAGGCGGCTCTCCCCGGCTGGCTGCAGCTCTCCCCGGCTGGCTGCGGCTCTCCCGGGCTGGCTGCGGCTCTCCCCGGCTGGCTGCGGCTCTCCCCGGCTGGCTGCAGCTCTCCCCGGCTGGCTGCGGCTCTCCCGGGCTGGCTGCGGCTCTCCCCGGCTGGCTGCGGCTCTCCCCGGCTGGCTGCAGCTCTCCCCGGCTGGCTGCGGCTCTCCCGGGCTGGCTGCGGCTCTCCCCGGCTGGCTGTGGCTCTCCCGGGCTGGCCGCAGCTCTCCCAGGCTGGCCGCGGCTCTGCCCGGGCTGGCTGCGGCTCTCCCCAGGCGGCTCTCCCGGGCTGGCTGCGGCTCTCCCGGGCTGGCTGCAGCTCTCCCGGGCTGGCTGCAGCTCTCCCCGGCTGGCTGCGGCTCTCCCCGGCTGGCTGCGGCTCTCCCGGGCTGGCTGCGGCTCTCCCGGGCTGGCTGTGGCTCTCCCGGGCTGGCTGTGGCTCTCCAGGGCTGGCTGTGGCTCTCCCCAGGCGGCTCTCCCCGGCTGGCTGTGGCTCTCCAGGGCTGGCTGCGGCTCTCCCCAGGCGGCTCTCCCCGGCTGGCTGCGGCTCTCCCGGGCTGGCCGCAGCTCTCCCGGGCTGGCCGCGGCTCTGCCCGGGCTGGCTGCAGCTCTGCCCGAGCTGGCTGCAGCTCTTCCCAGGCTGGTCGCCTCCTTCCTGAGGGTATCTTACATCTGCTGCACTTCACACAGAATAGCCCTCCCCTTTCCTCCCCAGCAACGGTCAGCATTTTCTTAGCATGTAATCTATAACTTGACTTTGTACTGTTTTCATTCTTTCTTTCTCCTGCTACATCAGAGGAATATTTATGTTTTTGCTCACTGATGTGCCACCAGGACCCTACTGTGCTCTGCCTAGCACTTAACATGCAATAATATAGTAAATCTCTTTCCAAACCAAGGGATGACCTTGCGGCCAGCTCTCAAACTCAGCCTATGTCAATCCAGTACTGTACGTCACCAAGCAGCAGCTCTACTAACATCCACCCACGCAGCCAGGGACAAGCAGGCTCACACTCTTCAAGTTCTTTCAGCTGCCTGTCTGCAGGGCAGGTGTCACAGGGGTCACACGGTCAAAGAATATGCCCCCTCAATCATCCTTATGCAGAGGTGAAAACAAACACCAACTGCCAGGCTTTTGCTAAGGCCTGTGCAAACCCGAGGGGTAGGAAAAGGCAACGGACCCTCCCTCCACCCAGCAGTGCTCCCGAAAGCCACGTCAGCAAGGAGGAAACCAGCCTGCCCCAGCTCCCACCGCACCAGGCAGGCTGTACACACTTGCTGCGCTTGCAAAGAACTCGCTGTTTTGAAGAGATATAAAAGCATTCTAAATTCTCCTAGGAAGTTTCTAGCTTGTTTTCTGCTCCCATTTATCTGTGTTTGCAACAGATGCCAAGACGCAGGTCTCCACGGGGCTGGACGCAGATGCGGCCAGCCTCCCGCCCTCGCAGCCCAGCCTCCCTTCCTGGTCCTGTTGCCCTAGAGCTCACACCTCAACACCACACTCACAGGCCCCTGTGCCCCCCTCTCCACAGAAGACACCTTGTCTGGACAGCTTCCTTCATCAGAACCCCAAACCCTCAGCAGTTAGCACCACTGGCAGAGCAGCCCCAGATGATTGGGACCCACCTGGCCTTCAGCAAGATTGGAACAGAGATAGGAACAGCCTAGCTCTGAGAAATGGGATTGCAACTGGTAAAAACCACCCACTCCCAGGAAGTGGACCCAGGCAGGGGTGGGGTTTCTATGGCAACTCCTTTAGGATGCTTCCATGTCCACCAACTTACAGATGGACAAGAAGATTTTGTTCATCTTTAAGTTACAGAATACAGAACTTACCCGGTACAAGTCATTGTTTGTCAGGGAAAAAGGAAGGTTGGAGACATACACCGTGCTTTTGCTTGGGGCCAATCCACCGCTCATGTCTGGAAAACAAACAAGTTTGGAAGAATTCTAGAGCAGGCATTCTTGATTGCACCGAAAATCAACGCTGGCTTACATTTCAGGAACCCAAGGAATTGAGGATTCCTCGCCCAGCCAGCCTTGGTGTTCTGTGAAGATTGGAACTTTTCAACAGACACTTCCCTGCAGAGGCATGAGGAAATGCCAGTCTCTGACCACGTAAAATCCTTTAAATTCACACATTTTGCCTATGAGCACCAAATGATGAAATGACCCCATTTTAGTCTATGAATTGGCTCAGTGCCTCAAAGAGATACCGACTGGTACCAGGATTCTGGAAAGAACTTCGGAGAAACAGAACTGAAAAGAAAAACCAAGCAAAACAAAACAAAACAAGCTTCTTTCGGAAGCAGAAAGTCTGATAACCACGCACAGGCAGGATCCTCAAAAAGTTAACACAAAATCAGTATTATTAAAGACAGCCGCAGGGCGCTTCTTTGCCTCCAAATCAACTTCTTTCCATCCCACCCTTCTGATATTCACGAACATGTGACAGGCAAACCAACCATCCTATTTTGACTTTTCACATCCAAACTATGCCACGAACACGTCCCAAGCACTGAACCCAGGGCAAGCGCTTCAGCTCTGGAGGCCGTGGCGCCCACTGCCCGGACAGGAGCGGGAATTTGGGGTGAGGTTGGATGCGGCCCCGCACACAGCAAGGGAACCCGCACACTCCGGGGGAACAGGACGTCACGCACACAGCAAGGGAACCCGCACGCTCCGGGGGAACAGGACGTCACGCACACAGCAAGGGAACCGCACACTCCGGGGGAACAGGACGCCCCACCCCGGAACAGGGTGCCGGCTGCGGCCGCCGGGAGGGGCCGTGGCTGAGGGCCCTCACCTTCCCACGGGGCGGCCGGCGCGCGAGGCTCGGCCCAGCGGGCTCAGGCGCGGCTCCTCGGCCCAGCGGGCTCAGGCACGGCTCCCGCAGCTCTCACGGCTCCTCCGCCTCCCCGGCCGCCGTCTACGGGTCCCGGCCCCAGCCGCCGGCCCACACACCCCTCGGTGCGGCGCGCCGGTGACGTCACGGCGCGCGCCGGAAGAAGCTGCTGCTGCTGCTGCTGCTGCGGCTGGCCGGTGGCTCCTGGTTTCCCGCGGCCGAGTCGGTGAGTGCTTCCATGTTGGCGGGCGTCGCGGGGCAGGGCTGGCGAGACGCCGGCCCGGGGCGGGGCCTTCTCCGCGGCCAGGTCGCCGCGGTCCTTGTTGGAGCGTGAGGGTGGAGTTGACACTCGGAGAAAGTGTTGGGTCCGAGCCAGGTCTCGGCTCTTGTTTCTCTTGGCGGGGCGCCTCGGGGGTCCCCAGGGCCGGCGGGAGCGTGTTGGGGACGTGATGGGAGCCGTGCCCCGCACTGCCGGGGCGAGGTGGACACGTGTGCGCTGCTTGGCGCCTCCTTTCCTACTGTAAACCCATCCGTCCTGCCCCCTTAGCCCACTGCAGAAGTGGGGAGGTCATCACGTGTGGTGTGTGCTAAATTGCCCTCCCGTCCTGCTTCCCAACACAGACCAGGCGGAGCTGGTGGGCCAGCAGCGCGGTCCCTCGGGGCAGGCCCAGGTGCCAGCCCCCTTTGGGGCCTATGCAGCCTTGTCCCTTCTAGACAGGCTCGTGTGCTGGCCCTCCTTCGCACGTCCCTGTCACCCCCGGGCAGACCCGCGTGCTGGCCCTCCTTGGGCCCCCGCACATCCCTGTCACCCCTGGACAGGCCCGCGAGCTGGCCCTCCTTGCGTCCCCGCACGTCCCTGTCATCTCTGGCCAGGCCCGAGTGCCGGCCCTCCTGAGCGCTGCAGCGTCCATGGAGCGCTGGTGGCTAGGCGCACCCTCGCGTTGCCTGTGGTCCCCGGGTCTCCCGAGCCCCGTCAGCCCTGTGCTGCTTCCCGGTCCTTCTGTCTTGGCTCGGGTTGTCGCTGCTTCCCTGGTCCCTCTTTCAGTCCTCCTGACTCAGCCCAGTTGTGTTCTCTGCCTGACAGCCTTTGTGTGTGTTCTGCCTCTGTAATCTTGCTGGCTTTGGGTAGTTAACTTGTGGCTTTCACTGTTAGCCTTCCAGCGGACACCTGTGTCTAAGGTTGGGCGTGGCTTTAACCATGTTAAACCAAGCATCCTCAGAATCTTTTCTCTGGCTTTGTGAATGACTCCTCGTTTAGCTATTGTTGTGTTAGAGAGGGCATTTCCTGCGTCCTGTGGAGGCAGTTGGATGTCCTGGCCACCCACCGCCCTATCCCCTGGTGGGCATCGGTCTTGTGCCCCACGTGCTAGTTTCTGCGCCTTCCCTGCTAGCCCGGCAAGGGTGGTGGGGTCAGGTTTGCTTTGTTTACCGTTGTATTCAGTTCAGAGCAGGAGACAGGTGTCTCTAGAATAAGTGCTGGTGCTGAAGGGGCTCTCAGAGGGTAGGGAGTTAACTGTGTGAGAACCCGGAGTGGGGATCCTATGCCCCACTGGTTTATTGAGGCTGTAGGAGAAGGTGGTGCCAGTTGTCAGAACATGTATTTTTTTTTCCCAGGAAAAGCTGGAAGTATGATTTTTAAGGGATACTCCAGCATTTAAATAGTAAATATAAATGCTTAAGTGAAGATTTTAAACACAATTTTTTTGAAGATTTATTTTTATTATTTTTTATTGGAAAGGTGGATAGACAGAGAGGAGAGACAGAGAGGAAGATCTTCCGTCCAATGATTCACTCCCCAAGTGAGCGCAACGGCCAATGCTCTGACGATCCGAAGCCAGGAGCCTCTTCCGGGTCTCCCACGCAGGTGCAGGGTCCTAAAGCTTTGGGCCGTCCTCAACTGCTTTCCCGGGCCACAGGCAGGGAGCTGGAAGGGAAGTGGGGCTGCCGGGATTAGAACCGGCGCCCATATGGGATCCCGGGTGTGCAAGGCGAGGACCTTAACCACTTGCGCCACCGCGCCGGGCCCTAAACACAATTTTGAATACTGATTTGCCAGTCATGGATTACCTGTGGCTGTCAGGCACCAGTTTGGAATCAGCCTGAAGTGTTCAGATACTCGGCTTTGGTGGTTCTGGGAGAGGGTTGTCCTTGCTGACAAGTTGCAAGTGAATGAGAGAAAGGGAAGAGGTATTTCAGCTTTGCAAGGAAGGGGCTCCAGGCGCCGTGTGGTTTGGGGTGAGTGAGGCTTCCAGGGAAGAGATTAGGGGATTTGTTAGGCTTGTGGGGGTTGAGATCTTGGGGATTAATATGGTTAGTAACAAATCCTTTTGTTTAGGGAAACTTCTCATTGTGAATATACACAGTTGACAGTTATTAAGTAACTTGTAGGGTAAAACCTGGGAGGAGGCTGGCCAGCTGAGACCAGATGGAAAATAAGATTTGGGTTTGTAAACAGGTAAACATTTGACATTTTTGTCCATTTACCTAGCTTCATTTAGTAAAGAATTTCCTACTAAATATTAAACATTTTTTTATATTATCACTTTATTTGAAGGACAGATGGAGAAGGACACAGAACAAAGATCTTCCATCTGCCACTTCTCTTTTCATACGTCTGCAACAACCAGGGCTGGGCCAGGCCAAAGCCAGCAGCCAGAATCCAGTCCAGGCCTCCTGCTTTGGTGACAGGGGCTTGAGCCGTGGCGTGCTGCCTGTCCTGGTGCGCCTGCCCTGGTGCGCCTGCCCTGGTGCACGTTGGCAGAAAGCTGGAAAATTAGTAGCCGTACAGCATTGTCAAGTGACTTAAATGTCGAGTTGTATGTTCCCTGTGGAAGCGGTCAGGGTCCTCAAGCCTCTTTCTTTTTGAATCTCTGATTCCTAAGCTTAAAAGCCTGCATGAAGTTCCTCATCTAGTGGGGTTTTGTTTGTTTGTTTGTTTTTTGAGCTGCATGATGCCCTTGGAACTGCCCTCTGGTCTCTGGTCTTGCACGCCTCTTCTGTCTGTGAAGGGCATGCTAATGGTAGAGGGAGTCTGCTCCAGGACCCCTCCGCCTCTGGAGTGGAGGTTCTCAGAGCACTGCTGCTTTTATCTGCAGAGTGGGAGGTAATCTTTTTCACTGAAACTTTATGGGTAGAGGGCCTATATGATTTGAACGGTAACTGTATGGTTTCTTGCGCATGGGCAAGACACTGAGGGCTTGCATACGCCCTGTCTTTAGAGCTCGCAACCGCGCTGTGTCGTCGTGTCTTTAGAGCTCACACCCTAACTCAAAGACCTGAATTATACTCTAAAATTTTTGAAGTTTTTTGGCTGGAATTTCAAACATTCCCCGGTAGATATAGTGTTATGTACTTTTTAGGGTGTTAGGAATATAGTGAGCTTGCTTTTTTTTCTTTTTTTTTTTCTTTTTATTGGAAAGTCAGATATACAGAGAAGAGGAGAGACAGAGAGGAAGATCTTCCGTCCGATGGTTCACTCCTCAAGTGGCTGCAATGGCTGTAGTTGTGCCAATTCAAAGCCAGGAGCCAGGAGCCTCTTCTGGGTCTCCCGCGTGGGTGTAGGGTCCCAAGGCTTTGGGCCGTCCTTGACTGCTTTCCCAGGCAATGAAGAGCAGCTGATGGGAAGCAGGGCCACTGGGATAAGAACCATCGCCCATATGGGATCCGGTGTGTTCAAGGTGAGGACTTTAACCACTAAGCTATCGTGCTGGGCCCTGTTTTTTTTTTTTTTTTTTTTTTTTAGATTTGTTCATTTGAATGGCCTAGTTGACAGATGAGAGAGGCTACATCTTCAGCTTGCTGGTTCACTTCACATAGCTGCAATAGCTGGAACTGGGCCAGATGAGCCCTGGTCCTGACCTTGCCTTGGGGTCTCCTGCATGGGTGCCAGGACCCAGGGTGGAGTTGGATCCGAAGTGGAGCAGCTGGGACTCAGACCAACACTTCTAACATTGCAGTCTTCAGCTAGCAAGGCTGGGCCACTTGACATGAGTTTAAAATTATCTAAAAGCTGTCAAGGAGTGGCACTGGTACCATGGTTCAGCTGACTAATTCTCTGCCAGTGCTGGCATTCTGTATGGGCGCTGGTTCATGTCCCCACTACTTCACATCCCATCCAGCTCCCTGCTTGTGGCCTGGGAAAGCAGCAGAAGACGGCCCAAATCCTTGGGACCCTGCATCTGTGTGGGAGACCTGGAAGAAGCTCCTGGCTTTGGATTTGTGCAGCTCTGGCCGTTGCAGAATGAGGGCAGAATATTTTTCTCTGTGTCTCTTTTCTGTAAGTCTGCCTTTCCAATAAAAAGAAATACTCTTTAGAGAAGAGAAAAAGCTGCCAGAGTCCCCTCCCTTGTGCAGATTGAACTTGACGGTGGTGGTTTCTGAAGCTCTCTGTGGATTCCAGTGTGGCCATCCAGAAGATGATCTGCTTGGCCTGTGGACCATAGAACGCCAGGGAAGTCATTTGGTCTGGTCCTGCCAAGACAACTGCACAAGGAACTCACAGCAAATCCACAGTGGGCTGACTTTTCAGTTGGCCCTTACTGAATGGCCCTGAATTATAAGTACCCAGACCCTAGTCACGAAAATGGTTCCCCGTACCTGCATGCTTCAGCTGAGATCCTAAAGGTGCGCTTTGCTCAGAAGTGGAGTGGTTCCAGGACATGTCAGGAGCTGGGATCACACAGGGCTTGTGGGCTGTTTTATGAATAAAATGGACTCCTACAGATGGTGGTCAGCTGCAGACGTCTGTATTTGTGTGGCCAGTATTTAATACTTGCTTTTATTGGCTAAGCCATAGGAGCAGGAAGGGTTCCCTGAGAGCCCTCACAGTGGGATTCGGCTGGGAATGCAGAGGTAGACAGTGGTGGATCAGTCTGCCCGAGTAGAGTGTTTGGAGGGCTGCAGAGTGGAACTGCTACGCTGCCGATTGATGTTGAGGGCGAGGGGTGCTGACAAATGATTGGGAGGAGAGGGAAGTTTGTGCTGCGGGGTGGTGCTGGCCACAGTTGCACACTACTAGAAAGATGAGTGGGTTGCTAGAACGGGAGGATTGGAGACTGTTGGAGAAGGGCCTCAAGTGGAGTCTGAAGCAACAGCCAAGTCCTAAGTGGCCTTTTTCAAGTTGAGGATTTGAGGGCCATTTGAGAATTTATTTTATTTATTTATTGTTTTAATTGAAAAGCCAGGTATACAGAGAGGAGGAGAGATAGGAAGATCTTCTGTCTACTG